CCCCAAAACCCCAAAACCCCAAAACCCCAAAACCCCTTGATAATATTATTTAATTGAGATCTACCTTCCGACATTCATGGATTCATCAAATAGGCTCATAGTAGATGATCTGATGTAAATATGTATAACCTTCTGCTCAATTTCATTTGTCGACCTTAGCTCTGTCAGGTTGATAGACCTCTCATCATGATTTTTATAGTGCAAAATTGAAACCATCAAAGAAACATATGAATAATTTCGAAGCTCAGAGTTCATCTTATCAGACCCGGAATAGATTTCAGAGTCCTTCAAAGGAATTTAGTTCAGATTTGAGACTGATATGTAAATTTATTTTACTAAATCATTTAGCACAGAGTAACCTTAACGGTCGGGAAAACTGCTCGAGTGAGTCAAATTAAGTTAATTTTCAAATAAATCATTTTGTGTTGGTAGACTAGCACCCAGTCAAAATTTACTTTTATCTAGGGGCCCATCATCACTTGGAGATCAAAAGTATGAAATACTTTCAGAGACAGGCTTACCAAGAAGAGCAGCGATTAGAATATCTCATTGAACCTCAAGGTATAATTACCTAGAAAATATTGTAATTTCTTAGTAGGAAACTCAGTATTTTCAGCGAGAAATTCACAGAAAAACCAAATACCAGCTATTCAAAGTCCTTCTCCAGGCAGCTTTTGCTCAAAAAGGGCCAAATACAGAAGTCATGCTCGTTCGTTTTCACGCTTCAGGAGATATGCTAGCCCTGAAATGTACTTTTCTATTTAAAATTTAGGTGAAGAAATACTAACCAGGTTCGTCTTTTAGGACTGAAATAGTCACGAGCAAATTAAAAGCTGAGAATTCAGACAAGGTAGTGTAAATTTTCACCAAAATTTTAGATCAGCCGAGGAAAATCTTAAGTCCCAAGTTGTTTCGTTCGACAGAGATGAACATCACTAAGGCTATTAAGCAACATCACCTTAAGATGCTGTATAACCGATCAATGGATGCAAAGTTTGGTATTTACTCATCGATTTAGAATCAACATCGCTCAGAAATATATGAAGAAGTACAACATCAAACTACCTGAAAAGGAGCTGTATTCCTTAAAAATGAGTGAAATCATAAAGAAATTAACCAAAAAGAGAATGAAATAAGGTTACCAACCAGATGGCTCTGCGGATTCAGAAAGCCTTCAGGGGATATTTAGGTATTTTCTACCCATTAATTATTAATTCTAGGAAGAAAAATATATGCAGCTAAGAAGAGTTAGGCTAATACATGATATTTTAGAGCTCTTAGACCAGACAGCTAGGAAAATACAGCAGTGATGGAGGTCATATAGAATTTTCACCCTGGTTCCCAAAACCTTAAAATTCCGTAAACAAAAGTCGCTGCTTTTGATTCAGAAGTTCTTAAGAGGATATAGGGACTACAAATAGGATCAATGAGATATTGTCAGCACAGAGAATGCACCAAAATTTTGCTTATTTCTCCTAAAATGAGGGAGAAAATTGAAGAAGACAGTGCAATCTTCATCCAATATCGCTCAAAGAAGTTCCTCGTTGATGTTAAGAAGAAAAAGGATCTTTCTGTTATCAGAAACCTCCGAAATCCAAGTAAGAACATAAGGATGGTATGCCTCAGTATCACTCTTTAGTTTCCAAAGAAAGGTGGAGTACAGTTACAGTAAGCTATCTGAGTCTCACAGCTTAGATTTACGAACACATTGGTAGACCCACTGCTTAAGAATGACAAGATCAAGATGGTACGGAAGAAATGTGGTAAGTTTCGACAAAAGAAGTTAACAAAAAGTTTTAAAAATTAGTTTTCAATAAAATATTATTGAAAAGGGGTTTTGGGGTTTTGGGGTTTTGGGG